TCATCCCCACCTATCCCTAAACCCTACACCCTGAACCCTAAACCCTAAACCCCTATGCCGTAAACCTCCAACTGACCGAGTCTCAGAATCTGGTACGGTGCATCAGCTGGAAGCCCTAAGCCCTAACCCCAGATACCTTAAGCGCCGAACCGTGATAGCCCCGGCTCTAAACCCTAAGCCCTAAACTGTTAGGGTTTAGGGTTTAGGGTTTAGGGTTTAGGGTTTAGGGTTTAGGGTTTAGGGTTTAGGGCTCTACCCTTCCGTTGCTTTCCACGACCCTGAACTTCAAACCCAAGCGCTAAGCCCCTTAAACCCCTGAGCCCTTTCCCCTCAGATCAACCATCAGATCAGCCTGTAAATCCCAAACCCTAGACCCTGCAAACCCTAAACCCAAACCCTAAACCCTAAACCACAGGACGCTGACTGGCAGGGCCTCCCTTTGATGAGTTGGCCAGTTTCAGGCAGAGACACCCATCACGAGACATGGCCGATTTCGGATAGAGAGGTATTGGGTTTACCTGGACCCTGAATAAATTACGTACTTTTTTAAGGTTTTGTATAAGGAAATCAAAATAAGGAACCCGCAAAAGGTAGGTGTGTTTTAGGGTCTATGCAGGGTTTATAGGGTTGCTAAAGGGTTCCTTGAAGCCTGCCATAAGATACTATACGTGTTTAGGGTGTTACGGAGGGTTAAGGCTCCAAGGTTTACGGATTTGGGGCTCGGGGTTATGAGGGCTTATACTTGGAGGTTCATGGGTAGTTATAAGTCTGGTCATAAGTCCCCTAATGTGGGTTATAATTATAGTTACCTGACTTATAGCCCCACTTATAACTACCCATGAACCTTCAAGCACCCTGCAGGCACAGCATTTGGTACGTTTTTGTTGCTGGATGTCCTTCTTGATACTGAGAGAGGCGCCTTGGGAACTTAGAGTCAGGGTGGGGTTTGGGCTTTTGTGTACTTGGATGTTCCATGGGTAGTTTTAGGGTTTAGGGTTTAGGGTTTAGGGTCCTAAATGGAGATATAAGTCCCCTGATATGGGCTGTAGCTACAGTTACCCTACTTCTAAACCTAATTATAACCACCTATGAACCTCTAAGTCTTGCGTATCAAGCGCTGAGGGGATGTAGGGTTGAAGGGCCGCAGATAGTTCGGGCCCAGACGGGTCTATGACCTTGTGCCTAAACACCCAACCCTCAACCCAAAGCCCTATAAGCCCTACAGGAAGCCCTAAGCCCTAGACCCTAGACCCAAAGCCCCAAGCCTTAAACCCTAAACCCTAAGCCCTAAGCCAGTCCTAAGCCCAAACGCCAAAGGCCCTAAGCCCTATCAGGGTATTCCCTGCCCTAAACCCTAAACCCTAAACCCTAAACCCCTAAACCCCTAAACCCCTAAACCCCTAAACCCCTAAACCCCTAAACCCTAAACCCTAAACCCTAAACCCTAAACGATGCAGCTGAGGAGACCCGGATCCTCCGTGACGATGTCATGTGCCCCGACCTGGCCCAGAGATGGGAGGTTTTGGGGGTCTATGAGGGTTTGGGGCTTTAGGGCTTTATGGTTTTGGGGGGTCTATGAGGGTTTGGGGCTTTAGGTGTTTAGGGCTGTAAGGGGTCTAGGGTTTAGGGCTTTAGGTTTTAAGGGCTTTAAGGGTTGAGGGCTTTCGGGCTTTAAGGGTTTAGGGCTTAGGGTGCATGGATCCTTGATTGGAGTTTGCCGTTTGGGGTCAAGGGTTTGGATTAGGGATTCAGAGTTCTGGCTTGGAGTCTGATTAGGGTGTCGCATGTCGCTCGAGTTGCCACGGAGGTCGCCATGCTAGGAGACTATGTTCCTGACAGGGAGTCGCGTGACCCTAAGCCCTAAACCCTAAGGTTTTTAACCCTAAACCCTAAACCCTATATGCATGATTAGCAGCCGACATGTCTTCACATCTCGTTTCCGGCTCGGTTTCCGGGAGGCTTGAGGAGTTGTTGGATGTGGAGTCCATACTTGCGAGAGCCATCTGGTTCGCAACATATGGGGGTTTCTGAAAATAGGGGACCCCAAAAAAGTACCCCAAATAATAGGATCCTTCATATAAGGACCCCAAAATAAGGCATCCCTAATTTTCAGAAACTCCCATATGAATAAACTGGATGATAAGCATACATATATTCACTACAAGTAGAAGTACTGCAGGTACTTCTGTGCGTAGCGGCAGGAGGACGAGTAGCAAGAACTCCACAGGTCTTTCTTTCCCGAGGATCGCGAAGTGGACAGGGTTTGCATGTTCCCACGCTCGTGAACCCTAAACCCTGAAACCGCCTAAACCCTCAACCATCCTAAACCCGAAAACCTAAAACCCGAAGCCTAAAACCTATACCCTAAATCCTAACCCCCCCAAAGAAACAAAAAAAACAAACAAACTAAACCCCAAGCCTAACCCAGGTCTTATGGCAACGGCTTAGAGGCCGTGTCCGCGATCACTCTGGCGGCCTTGGAGGTAAACTGCAACAGAAC